AGCCACACCTCCCCTCTTCTACAGCCAAACCACCTGGCACTAAAACACTGTATAAAGATTATTTAATTTCTCCAGGAAGGAGTTTCAGTTTCAGAAGAAGCCCCTAATGTGCCTCTGTTTTTCTGCCACAGCTTTAAAAATTAATTTTGTCAAGTCTATAATTCCAACTTTCATGTTCATTCATACACCTCTTTTCCATCTACCAGACAAGTGTTACAGTCTGTGCTGATTCTATTTTGTATTCTGGAGCTGTTTTTCCTACACTTGAATTTTGAACTGGGACCCATCCCTGGTCAAAATTACACACTTACATAAAGACTTCAGAGGTTCTGCCCATCAATGGGCAGATTTCAGAAGGCTTACAGACAAAGAGAAACTGAACCAGGGTGTCACGAATAGCAGTCAATTAGTCATGTGACAAAATAAAACAGGACATGTTTCAAAGGTTGGTTTCTTCCCACAGTCCAAAGACATGCTGGTGGGTTAATTGGCTTCTGGAAAAACTGGCTCTGGTGTGAGTGTGTGTGTCTGTCTGCCCTGTGATGGACTGGCTTCCTGTGCTTGCTGAGATAGGGTCCAGCTCCCCTGCGACCCTGTACTGGACTAAGTGGTTAGCAAATCTTCAGATATTTCAAAGCCTGAGGAGGATTACAAGTCTAGTCTGTGGGGAACACTGGATTTATAAGGCTGTTTCCTTATGAGATATTATTACTTTATGCACTGAACGACTTATTCTAGAGGCTCAGCTGATGGTGTCCCCATCCAGGGCCCTCTGTTTAAACCAACAGCTTCCATAAGACAGCACTATTTTTCTGCTATTATTTGTCATAATTTCCTTAGAATAATTGCCCTGTTTTCCTTTGTTTTGTTATTCTTCCCTTCCAACAATACTTTCATTATATTATTTATTCCTTCTGTGATACCCACAGCATGTGCTCTGGTTTTCAAAAAGACAAGCAGAGGAATCCTTTCTGTGGCCCTGTGTGCCAGGAAGTGTGTCTCTTTCAGGGCACTGGGCGGTTCAGTTACTGCACCTCCCTACAGACATCCCGATTTAATTTCAGCCTAAAACTGGCATAGATAAAATAGTTAATCTACTGTATATATCTAAATGATACATTCTTTTTAATAACTTTGTTTCGATCTTATTCCCAGACTTTGGGGAAAAAGATTAAGTGAAATGGATCAGGAGAATGTGCCTTTGGTCCCCCTTTCAGGTTTTTGGAAGTGACACTCCTTTCACTCCTTTTTTTCCTTATTCTATTAGTTCCACATTTTCAATTGTCAATGATCCAGGGAGCCTGAGCTGTGTGTTTGAAAGGTCTATGTGCTCTCTGGGTAAGGTGTGTGTACAAATGGTGGAGTCCTGGGTTGAGACAAAGCTCTTACAACATGTAACAGGTGATCCCAATGGAATTCACAGGAGCCCAGTGCCGGAAGGAGAGACACCTGTAGGTCAATGTGAAACCTCTCTGACAAGGTGAGTTGCTTCCACTGTTCTTCCTGCTGTGTGCTGTGTAATAATCATAGCCTGTAACTTTCCCATGACTCTGTTATATAGTTCAGAGATGACGTATGGGCTGACCTGTGTATTAACATAATGAATGTGCAACTCCTGGTTTATCCTGCTAGTAACCATCGCTGTATAATAATTGGACATTATTACATGGCTTACATGTTTGGAAGAAATGTGAGATATTTAGTAACACTTCTTTTCTTGAAACAGAAGTTTGTCTTCATATCCATTTATTTCTAAGAAGGTTGCTCTTGGAAAGCAGGAGGAAAATTGGCAAAACAATCATTCTTGGTAAATTTTACTGTGCACTACTGGCAATGCAACTGTTTGAATAGGAGTACTGGATAACAATAAATAGAGCATGTGAAAGATGTGTCTATCATTAAAATGCAAAGGCTGCTTAAGGATAGTGGCCAAACATTGGAAAAGTACATCTTGGGTCAGCCAGGAAATTAAGTGCAATGCTCGGAGAGAGGTTGTGTGTGTCTGGCAGTAGGGCTCTGCAGTTCAGATGTGTCCTTATTAAAACATTTAAGCTGAACAGGCTCTTTGCTCTTGAGCAACACATAATCAGTGGGACTTAACGACAGCACTGGAGCTTGACTTCTCTTTCTCTGGTCTGCTCTTTCCCAGTGGATGAAATTAATGTACATAAAAAGACTTCAAGGGCCAACATTGTGAATGGTCAATATGATTAAACATGAGGTCCAGTGGATGTCCTATAAATAGTTCTGTCACAAAGGAAGGTAACGAGGCACAGTGGGTTGTTTTGTGCTCATCTTTAACCTCATTCCCGCTCCTCTTTCATTCTCGCTCTGCCTGAGGACTGGCCTCCCTGTCCCTTGTGCACTCAGGAATTTGGCACTCCAGCAACGTATTGCCTCGCAGAACACTGAGCACCGTGCTTCAGCTCCAGCGCAGAAGCAGCTCTGGCCTGTCAGATAAACAATTTTTCAGTCTAATCTTTTATAGCCCCCTGCCACCGAAGCCTTTGCTTTGGTGAGAATAACTCTGAGCCTCCCAGTGTACCTGTTAGATTGGACAGCTGGCTTCACTCTCTGTCCCAGTTTGCGCCTTTACCAGCAGCACTTCCACCAGTTTTGCACACCAAGGATTTGGCTTATGAAGGGGCACCTGTGCTTAATCCCTTCATGCCGGCTGGGCCTGTTTGAGCCCCAGAGAGGACCTGAATGGCCATAATGCATTAATTGGAAAAGACGCAAACAATTGAGTTAAACATTTGAACAAGCACCTTCAGCACTGCCATAAGAATGTTTGTCTGAGTATAAATTAAACTGAGGCTCTGTACGTTTTCAGTACTACTGTGGTAATGAGCAGCAGGCACATACTGTAACAGTACACTGTCAAACCCTATTCAGGTAAAAGTGTTCCAATTATTTGACAAATCAGACAGGACAGGAGGCTGACCTTTTGGACAAGACAGGAAGACTAATAATATAGCTTGCATGAAGCTTGTAGATTGTTATTCCATGTGTATTTTGAAGCACATCCCCAGGTTCCTAACCTTGAACATGTTGAATGTCCCAGAATTTTATACGGGAAAGCATTTATGTTCTTAATGCTCTTTGCGGTAAAGTTTCCATAAGCAAAGGTACTGCCAGTGCACAGTTAGACTTAATGCCATGTTTCCCCAATGAAAAAAAAAACTTCAAGGAATTACTCAGAATTCAAAAGAGGGAGTTCTCAGAAGTGCTTCCCTTGGTTTTGAGTTGTTCCTAGCAATATAAGAGATATTTCAGCCAGTGTGTCCTGACAATTTTCCACCGACAGAAACATGAATTCAGATACCCACATGATAATGCTGCCAAGTGTAGAAATTAAACTTTTTGCATTTTCCAGTGTTCTTCTCCTGTTTTCATAGAAGTAATCTATTAAAACTTAGAATTCATTTAATTCAAAAAGATCTTATCAACAATGGAGCATCATTCTCATCTTGAATCCTGAAAAGAGTCCCACAAAGCAAACAAACTGATTATTTTTATTAATTCTTGGACAGCTTTGCTTTGATTTCACATTCTTTACGTTCTCAAGAGAGAAAGGTGGCCTGAGCAATGACAGGCTGTGAGAACAAGCTTCATGATGATTTTGTAGTACACAAGGATATGAAATCTTGTTATTTCAAATCTCCTTCCTAGCAGCTCATTGTGGATCATCTTTATCTAACAGGTAGAATTCTTTGTATAATACCATTACTGTACAATCAAAATCCTGCAGCCACTGCACAAAGCACTAGGACAAAGATTGACATTACACCACAAAATGAGCTTGTCATCAGTAAACAATAGTAAAATAAAAATGTAGTCATGGGGACCATGGAAAAGTAGATTATGACTTGTACATAAAATGACCAGTTATTTTATAGATTTACTGATGTTCCACATAAACTGTGACATAGTCTTGGATTTATATAATATTTGTAAAATCAAAACCAACCAAACCAGATAAAAAGAAATACTGTGCACATTTCACCATGCCAGAGTTTCATGATCAAAACCTTTAAACCCACAATGAGCAGTAGAGTTTCCTAATCTTTGGTTTAGTGGCACATGCTATGTGCAGATTTGTACTGGTTTCTCAGAAGGTAGCAGCTGGGGGGAATCCTGATTTAGAAGGAGAAGAGGGTTTTGGGAGAGGATGATGGAAATGGTCCTGTTCCATAAGGACGTCAGTGCTGAATAGCATGTCTTTCTCCTGGAGACTGGCTCAGGGAGGAATATCCCTGAATTCCACAACAGCAGGCCAGTTCAGCCCAAGGCAGGACCACTTTCCTTTCTTGTAACTACAAGTCTTCTGCATACACATTTTCTTATTACAGAACTTTATTGTTATGTGCCTGCATCAGTTCCTGTTTGTTTTGCACCCATATAATCTTACAGCTCTGGTCCTGTTGCAGAAAGAGTGAGCAAGCTTTGCTGTGGGGCAGAGAGCTCCAGATTCACAGCTCCTCAAGGTCACCCCAGACCCCTCTGCCTTGAGTGCCTCTCTGGGAGGCCTGAGGCCAAGTTCTGGGATAATTTATTTACTCCACACACTATTGTTCCTGTGTGGCATGTAGAAATCTGCTCTGCATCCTTTAATCTTCAATCTCTTCTTTTTTTTCTTAGTTTTTTTTTTCTGGCAGAGACAAGATAAACACTTGCCATGGTTGGGTGAAGCTGTCATTAATTCACAGAGCTTCTCAGAACACTCTGTACGGATACTGCGCTGTAGCTGGATAGACAGGCCAAACATAAACACTTCCACAGCACGGAGACTGGGTCTGAAAGCCCAGCTAAACAAACCTCTCTCTACTCAGCAGTGACCCTTGAGAGGCTCCTACCTCTAATTGTGTTGAGCCCAGCTCCGTGTAGATAGAGACAGGCTGCCAGCTGAACCGTGTGAACAGACAATGGGTCTGTGGATTCAAGGGGTGTCCTGTTGATTCCGGAATGTTGTCCCAGCCAATTGCACAAGGGGAGGGGCACTGCCCCCAGGTCTCTCTGTGTGCATCGGAGGCAGTGCTTCGGCACAAGTTAGTCTGGCTCATTGTATCTGTGGCCGAGGCCAGCTGTCCTATTGTGAAAGTACAGTCATGTTTATGCATATATAACTGGTTGCTATAGTTCTCATAACTTGACATGGCATGCTATTGTTTTCATTCCTTTTTTAAATTGCCCGTTGCTTCACAGTGTTCTTGTTTTATTGTTGGACAGGCTTGTCCGTACTTTGTTCAGGCCTATTGTCTCTAAATCACTTATAGTACAGTGTGAATAAAACCATGTGCTGCATATATTGGGTGACAGGTCATCTTGATTAACCTACCATGTTGTGTAGTACAGGAAAACGCAAAGATTGCCTGTTTCTGTTCTAGACATTCTTGTGTGAAGGTCACACACAAAGTGAGAGTAACTGTTTTGTGCTTTAGTGAAAACAGCACAGCACATGTTCCATGTTCACCTTTATGCAAAGAGTTTAGCAAAGGAGCCATTGATAATATTGCATTGTATTCAGTTTATTTTTGGATGTGGGAACAAGTTGGAGATGAAATGTCAAGTAAAAAAAAGCTTGACCACTATGGAAGAGATGTCTCAAGGCTGCACCAGTGAAGTGCATCTGTGGAATGCCTTGTGTTCAGACACCTGCCTTCCAAGCACAAATTCTCCACAGGGACAGGAGTTCAGTAACCTATGTGTCCTTGAAAGAGTGGCCCAAAATAGGCCCAAACTTTCAAGGACACATAATAACTGAAAAAAACATTCTCTGGATGTCATGTTGATGGCATTCTGCAAATTAAAGGGGTATCATGACTGACAGAGAGAGGTATTGGGTTATTTCCAAAAATAATACCAATTAAAAAAACTTGATAAGAAAACAACTGGCAGTATCGTTCTGCTTTGGTGGCCAAAATTCCAAGCGGCCGTCATTGGGAAATGTTCAGCTCCGCTGCTCACATCTCATCATCCAGAGCCCAGCTTCTCTGAACTCCTAGCGAGTTCTAGGAACAGGACGCCGAAGTGCAGCCAAACCTCGATCTGCGGTGATTCTCTGCAGAGGAGTCTGAACTGACATCTGTGTGTAGCTGGAAAAGATTTGAGTTGCTGACCAAAAGAAAAACGCTTGCAAAAGCTTTTCTTTCTTTGTTTTTTTAACATTACAAACATGTCAGTTTTGACCACTTGGATTTCTGGCTTAATTGGTCAAGTTAAAATTAGGAATTAGGGGTTCTGAAGCCAAGTACTCATTAAGAGGTTTCAGGAGGGAGGGTGAGATGAGGATGTGTAAATCATGGAGAAATCCCAGGTTACAGGCCTTGGAAAGTGAGTTTCATACTGTATGTTCCCGGATAGAGCCTAAGCTGGCCATTAACTACTAACATAGTATGCTAGGACAGAGGATCCCTGCACAACATATCATCAAACACTAGGTTTCTGATTAGCCACTGGTTGGTAGGCTGAAGTTTTAATTTCTTCCAGGTATGAATCTCTGCTGTTGAAAAGATAGGATTTTTTTAGCTGCAAGAGACAGATGGAGACTGTGGTTGAGAAGTCCTTTAATACTAAAGAAGAATAAACAAGTGAGTGATTCACTACTTTTTTCTTTAGTTTTTTTCTTTCTTTTTTTACAAAAATTTCACAGTATCACTGATTCATAGCGAAAAACTGGCATGAAAAAAGCTGCAACACTCTGATTGGATGAAAGGAAACAGACGAGCAAGAAAACACATTAAAAAAAAGGTAAAACAGCAACACAAAAATTAAAACATTGTTAAAAGGTTTTTTTTTGCAGAGAAGAATTTGTTCATGAATTTGCTGTTTCCAAACAGAAGACCTGAGTTTATTTGTGTGAGAATGTGTTCTGTGAGGCCAGGCTGCTGTGCCTTTTCTCTTTCACAGAAAATTTGGTGTAATTCAATGATCCCTTCTAAAAATGAAAGTACAAAATATAACCAAACATCACTAAGAGTACTTCTGTAAGTGAGTGGTGCTGTTGGATGTATTTTCTGTTTATTTCTGAATTTGATTGTTGTTGTTGTTCTGTTTCTGCAACGCCCTCGGCAGTACTTTCTTTCTGACGAAGAGCCGCTTCAGGAAGCGATCGCTGACGGACGTGGGCAGGTAGCTGTAGATGAAGTACATGAGCCCCATGCCGTGGCCGGCGTAGTAGCGTGTACTGGGCTGCGTGGACAGCAGCGAGTGCGCAATGGCGTTGATGACGGGGCTGAAGTCCTCATTGGCTTTCCTGGCATGGGCCTTGAACAGCTCTTTAGTCTCCAGCAGGTACTCCTCCCCGTACTCCTCCAGCAGGCTGGGGGACAAGTTCTGGACCAAGTGCTGGTGCTGTTTCTCCCAGTACTCCAGATTACTGGACTGGCCTGGAAGACAGAGCCATCAGTGAATTAATGGTGTGCAGGCCTTGGGAGCAATGCTGTGAATTTTTTCTCTTAGGCATCCGTCACACCAGAAGGAAAGACAGGTTGTGCTGAAAAATGGAGCTGGGATCACCGGTTAGCTCAATACTGCATTGTGTATAAGACAACCTAGCAAGGTGAAATTGCCAGGCCCTAGGGACCACACATTGCCATACAGAGGTTCCAAGACACTTTAATTGTTTTTCCCTGCTGTGGTTTCAGTGATGACAATTGAAATTTACTTTACAATTAAGGAAAAAACAATGGTAGAGTAAAGTGATTACTAAGTCCCTTCAAGCACAGCAGTAAAACAGGCATGTTGAGGCCATGTTTAATGCTCTATATGCTTGCAGAACCCAGGTTTGCTTACACAGTTTCCAGTCTCTCATCTTACTGCTGTAATCATGCTGTTTTCTGTCATGATTGGAGCCACTGGAACCCCCTGGCATTGACCCCATTGCTTGGGTTGGCATTGCCTGATGTGAGTTGTTCCAGCTGGTAGGGAGCCAGGCACTTGGGGGCTCAGCTGGGGTGGTGTTTTGAGTCTCTACCTGCTCCTCTTCACATATTGTACATAGTGTACATGCTGTACATACTCCTCTGTTCTAGCCTCTCAGATCAGATCTTTTCTCTGTTTTCTTGCCCTTATTGGGATTGATGAGAATTGATCACTGATGTATTATATTGGGCCAGGTCCCAGGGAGGAGGAGGTGTGTGGCCCTGGATAGCAGTCCAGTGGGGCCAGTGTAAAAGACTGTTGACTTACATTACCGTTCATCATGCATCCAATAGTAAGAGCGAGAGGACCAGCACAGCATGAGCACCAGCACAACGAGAGCACGAACGCAGCGAGAGCAGGAACACAGAGTGAGCACCAGCACAGCGAGTGCACCAATACAGCAAGAGCACGAACACAG